TTTACTAAGTTGCTATTATAATACTTGGGATACAGAGGTGCAAAGATACTTGACTGAAACATCTGCCTATCTGGACTAATTACTAGACTATAAAATCATGAGAACCACTGCCATTGAGCATGCAAGCATCAATCTACACCATAGCTTGAACCATTTCATGTGATTTCTTGCAAAGAGCATTCAGAAAAGACACAATAAACAGCCTTTACTGGCTTCAGGTTGGGAAGATTTTAAGGAACATGGCGATGTTAACACAGGGTGGGGGTATGACTGTGAAAAGGAAATGCTTTCTTAAGAGGCCCATCTAAGTAAGGTTATAGGAGTGTTTATAAAGCATTTGAAATGACCCAAAGGAGGGTCTTCTGGTCTTGAAAACTCTCCAAAACAAAGAGACATAAACTGAGTGTTCTTCCCCTAGTCTGGCCTAGTTGTTGATTTTGGGAAACACTTTGGCAGCTGCATGGGGATACAATGTTGCCAGGTCTCTTCAGGGTTTGTAAAAGAACACCTTGGGAAATCCAAGAGTGAAGCAAGAGTTCAACTCTTAACAGGAATGTTGTTTGTGGTTTTGTTACCGAAAAACACCAGTGACTTTCACAAGGCCAGAGTTGTGTGGACAGAGGAATTAGGAAATCGCGAAGGGGTGGGGTAAGATGTGGGAGGCATAAAAGGACCAGCAGGTGTCCCTCATAGCACTGCTCTTTCAGCGGCAGATGGACCAAAGATGAGGTGAGTCTCCAGCTTTGCCCTCTCCCCCTTCTCTGGTTCTTTGCATACAACTGCCATCTATATGACGGGCCAGGTATGGGAGAAGCCTACAGGAGAGATGCAGAAACACAGAAAGGAACACAGCAAATGAATTAAATTGCAGTGAAGTAGAGGGCTTTTAAGAACTACGGCTCCTAACCAAAAGGTTGGCAGTTCAGAGCCACCAGCCGCTCCTGGGAACCCCTATGGGGCAGTTCTGTTCTGTCCTACAGGGTCACTATTAGCATCAACTTGAAGGTAAAGGGTTTGGTTTTGGTTTTCAGAGGGCTGAGTGGTTAAATCCTGTCCTTTTCTGCGTCCACAAAAGAGAATGCTCTCAGACATTGCTGTTGTCTCTCCAGAAGGCATTACTTACTCTTTGGAGTATCTTTTTTCTTGAGGTTATGAAGTTTTCATCTTTGCTGGGGGATATCAGCATCTCCCATGGCATTTTGAGTATATCTATTAGCAGATTTTTCTTCCATTTAAAAAAATTTATTATACAAAAGACCAATAGTGACATATTTGAGAAATTAAGGCACTTAAATTTTCTCAAAATAAAAAGATTTTTTGAAAGGTTGAAATATCAAGACTAGCAACATAATATAACCAAGCAATTCTTGAGTGGACATCTGCCAACGAGATGTTTAGCTGTGAACGTGCCCTTCACCATTGATGCCCACACCCACACTCATGCTTTCAGGAAGCCAGTTATCTTCTAGGTAGCCTTCTGGCACTTTGGAGCTAGAAACACCATTTCCTAAAGGCATAGTATCATAAAATAATAGACACAACCATTTAAGTGTTTTAAATTACATAGTTAAAAAACTTATTATGAAAAATTTCAAAAAGTAGAGAGAACAGCATAATAACCCCTCACATGTCCTTCTTCAAGTTATCCACATTTTATTAGTGGTATCTTTGTAGCCCAGCATTTTAGGGGTACCGGACAGAGGCTTCTCTTTGCTGGGGAGAACATGTATTACTGCCAATTTGATGTTACCTGAATGCTACCAGAAACTAAGTCCCGCACACCTACCTGCCTTTGTATCTTGGTGGTCCCTCTTTGAAACTTATGTAGAATTCCCAGCAGCATAGAGCTTGCTGGAACATGGGTGTGCTGGGAAGCTGCTCAAGTATGTGTGTGAGTGGGGGCTACTTCTTGGTCCTAGCACTTCCATATATCTATTTTTCTTTTCTTACTGCTTGATGGGAGGGATGTGTTGTGAAGTGGAGAGCCCAACTTTGCACTCCTTTCCTGTCTTCCCTCTGCAGTGCCCTAAGAGCTGTCGTTGCCCTCCTGCTCTGGGGGCAGCTTTTTGCAGTGGACTCTGGCAACGAGGCTACAGATATTGCAGGTGGGTATTTGGGGAGCTGTGCATCCCCAGCACTGCTGCATTCCACTTTGGCCCTATCAGATCCGCATCCTCTTTGGGAAGACCCAGTCCCTGCTTCTCATCCTAATCTCTGTGCTTTCAGTACCGTGAAAAACATCAGGGATCTTGCCAGAAATCAGGGGAGATTGCCCTTCCTTGGCTTCCATTTGGGCTGGAGGGGGGCTGATGTGCAGAGCACTTCCTCTCCTCAGACTTTTCATGGTCTCTGGGAGCAATTCCTGAATATTAACCTCCTCTTCCTGTTTCTTTTTTTTTGTAGATGATGGCTGCCCAAAGCCCCCTGAGATTGCAAATGGCTATGTGGAGCACTCGGTCCGCTATCAGTGTAAGAAATTCTACAGGCTGCGCAGTGAAGGAGATGGTAAGATCTGGAAAAGTGTCTCCATCCACCTCCCACGTGCCTGCACGCCTCTCAGCATTTCCATGATGAATGGGGCTAGGAGTGATTGGCCAGAAAGCTCACATGTTCTCCTTGGAGCCAGGAGATTGAAATCCTAATAAAGGTCTTGTCACCAGTAGCTGTGGCCCATGGGACAAATTAGTTTTTCTCAGCCTCAAGTTTTTGCTTTTGTTAAGGGGAGGTGATGCCACATAGCCTACCTATCGCAGAGTGCTACAAAAGGAGATGTGGTAAAAGAACAAATGATGACAGTAATGATGTCAGGTAACCTTTACCTAGTGAGTACTACATTTCTGGTGCTGTCCAAGTGTTTTTACATTCATTTGCTCACTTAATCCTCACAGCAACCCCATGAAGAGCTACTGCTGTTATTGTGATTTTGCTGATCAGGAAACTGAGACACAGAGAGGTTGAATAACTTGCCCAAGTTCAGGTACCCAGTAAGAAGCGGAGAGAGGATTTGAATCTGATCCCTACCTTGTACTGCCTCGCCATGACTACAGTCCTATCCTGCCGGACTTAAGAAATGCCCTCAGCACTTAGCTTCTAGTGTGGTCCTCCTCCCTTTCCCCCTCCTCCCTTGCTCTCTCCTTCTCTTCCTTCTTTTGATTTCTTCTTTTTAAATACCTCTTTGCCTATGCTAGGTCCAGACCTGATTGCTCTTTTGGCTCATGTTTTTTCTTTTGTTTCAGGAGTGTACACTTTAAACAGTCAGAAGCAGTGGATAAATAAAGCTGTTGGAGAGACACTTCCTGAATGTGAAGCAGGTAGGAAGCCAGGGGCCAGAGAAGCAGACCAAGGGTGAGTGTGGAGGGTTCAGCTGTAGGTATGCATCTAGGTGGAAACGTCCCAGAGGCGCATCCCTCCTGGGTGAATTCCTCAGAGCACAAGAGAGTCAAGATAGGGGATCAGGGAAAATGACAACTGGTCAGGCAGAGAATTGCACGGTTACACGATGACTCCTCGATAGAGCTCACAAAGGATTTGGGCCTAAAGGGCAGACTGAGTTTCACTGTGCACACTACCTCCAGAGAACCAGGCACAGGGAGACCCTCTGGGCACAGCCAGTTTGCCCAGGGAGTCCAGAATCAAAGGTAAAGTAAGCTCCAGGAGAAAAGTCAAGGGAGGACATAACAAAACTCTATTACCTGGAAGACAGAAAAGGAGATTGGAGGTTGGACTTCTGTTTCTTGTTATAAAGAAGAGCTGTTACTCTTTCTCTCTTGGAACAAAAGGTTTTGCCTCCCCTTCTTGTGCTACTAGTGTGTGGATCTGTCAACCTGCCTTGTATTAACTGCAACATCTATAAAACCTCAGTTTCAACCAATGCTGCTATACACCCCTCTTTATTCAGAGAGAATGAGTTATTACTCCAAGGCCTTACAACGAACTTCAAGAAATTGTGAGAATTCCTTTGTTGTGACAAATTCTGTTTAAATATACAGTTCATCCACTAGGGTTTGAAAATCTCAGCCTTATTTGTTTCTTTTCTTAGTTATAAAAGCAGGAAATAGAACTCCATTTTAGCGACATAAAGATTATTAAAAAGCGTTTAAATATTTCTAGGTCAGAAAAAATGAATGAGGGTAGTTTAGACAGTAGCAATGGCCAATGCTTTTACCCATCTTTTCCAGATTGAGAGACTCTTTCACATTTCGCCTTATGATTTTTTTGCTCTCCTTGACAGTATGTGGACAGCCTAAGAATCCAGTGGATCAGGTACAACGGATCATAGGTGGATCGCTGGATGCCAAAGGCAGCTTTCCCTGGCAGGCTAAGATGATCTCTCGCCATAATCTCACCACGGGGGCCACGCTGATCAACGAAAAATGGCTGTTGACCACAGCGAAAAATCTCTTCCTGAATCATACAGATAATGCAACAGCAAAGGACATTGCTCCTACTTTAAAACTCTACGTGGGAAAAAATCAGCTTGTGGAGATTGAGAAAGTGGTTCTCCACCCTGACTACTCCAAGGTAGACATTGGGCTCATCAAACTCAAACAAAAGGTGTCTGTTGATGAGAGAGTAATGCCCATTTGCCTACCTTCAAAGGATTATGCGGAAGTGGGACGTGTGGGTTATGTGTCTGGTTGGGGGCGGAATTCTCTCTTCTCCTTTACTCAGCAACTGAAGTATGTCGCACTGCCCGTGGCTGCCAAAGATGAGTGTGAAAAGCACTATGAAGGCAGTACAGTACCTGAAAAGAAAGAACCAAAGAGCCCTGTTGGGGTGCAGCCCATTCTAAATGAATACACCTTCTGTGTGGGCATGAGCAAGTATAAGGAAGACACTTGCTACGGCGATGCTGGCAGTGCCTTTGCCATCCACGACCAGGATGACAACACCTGGTATGCGGCCGGGATCCTCAGCTTTGATAAGAGCTGTGCTACGGCTGAGTATGGAGTGTATGTGAAGGTGCCCTCCATCCTGGACTGGGTTCAGAAAATCATAGCTGACAACTAACGCAAGGCAGACTGAAACTCTTGGCTGAGAGCAAGATTGCACTCTGGAGGAGGGCAAACAGGATGAGGTGGATGGGAGGAAACCTGGTCTGAAGTTGATGGGAGCCAGCCCTGCATTGCTGAGTCACTCAATAAAGAGCTTTCTTTTGACTCATTTCTGTGCTCTTTCTAGTCTTAGGCCTTTTTTATTCTTTTATTTATGGTACAGGGGCAGCCAAGTGGTAGAGGGTCTACTAGGAGTAAGGAGAAAAAAATCACCAGCCAACCAGAAATCTCTAAGGTGATAAAAATTCTCCCACCTTGGGGTTCATGCTCACTGACTGAACATCTTCTGAATGCCAGGCCTCAGTAAGGTGACTGTTATCCTTGTTTATAGACAAGGACACAGAGACTCAGAGAAGTTAAGCAACTTGCTTAAGGTTATACAGCAAAGCTGAACCTTGAATCTCGAACCTCGGTCTGTCTGAAGAGCCCTGAGCTCTTTTGTCTGCCCCCTATTGCCCCTTTGAAGTGAACTAGTCCTGGCGTGGAAGATGTTAGCCCTAAGTAGGTTGAAAAAAAAAAAACTGCCAGAGATAATACTTTATTATTTGTGCTCCAATGCACCAGAACTCCAGAAAACAAAGTAAGATGGTGTAAAGGCAGGGTCTCTGGACTTCCTTGGCCCAAATCATATCCCAGCCACAAATTTGCCAAGTGCTTTAAGCTCCCTGGCCATCTGTTTCCCAGACAATCTCTAAAGTCCCTGCCAGCATAATGTTCTGGGACTTCGTCAAGAGTTAAGAGTCTTTTCTTCAACAGGAGCTGCTTTTCCCACTTGGAACAAATCCACCCTTTACCAGGAATCAAATGCAGGTTGCCTGAGTCTCCCATTTCACAAAGATAAGGGTCTTGCTATTAAGTGTCTCCCTGAAGAAAGGTTCCAGAACTCTTGTAACTAGGAAGCTCTTCTAACTGAACTTTCTTGCTATAAGCCTTCAGTACACTGACTCTCCACCAATGTATCTTCTCATACCAAAATATGGCCTCTCCTTCTCATGGTGTTAAATGCTACCTGACACCCCGATACCCTCACCAGGATCTGGCCTTCACTGTAAAGTTCTCTTCACATGTATGTACCCTCATGACCTACTGATAAAATTTCAACAGATTAGAGCTAGTGGCCCAATGAAGGACACAGACCTCTATGCTAGAAACTGTAAAAGAGAGAATATCTGGAAACTGAAAAATAACATACTGTCAAACACCAAAAAATTGAAACCAAAATAAAAAGTCAGTTATGCCTTTTTCTCTTGGGAGTATCTTCAGCACTGAGTATGTCCTCGGTTTTCTTAAAGAATACTCTAATTGCATTAAGTGGCTTCTGGTCACTAATCAGGAGGAAAATAGTAAAACAAAACCTCTGCTATTCTCTCCATTTACTTATCTTCTCTGCCTTCCTCCCCAGCAGCACCTCCTGCCCATCGTGGTCCCAACCTTTGGGTTTCAGCAACACTGAACTCGGCACCAAACCAAAAAAACAAAACCTGCTGCTGTTGATTCTGACTCATAGCGACCCTATAGAGCAAAGCAGAATTGTCCCCATGATTTCCCAGGAGAGGCTGGTAGATTTGAACTGTAGAACTTCTGGTTGGCAGCTGAGCTCTTAACCACTGCCCGACCAAGGCTCCTCTCTGAATGCTCCCTGCTGTCTCCAGCCCCTGTACCTGCTTTGTTCTGGGGCTGTCTGCTGAACTGCCCTTCCCTTTTCTGCACAAGCACCTCCTACTCTCCTCTAAGAAGCCTTTTTCTCCCCATCCATGAGTCACTTTTATTTATGTACCATCAAGCATAGGACAGGGCATTCAGCCCAGACTTAATACTTGTGGAATAGAATGCAACTAGGATAAGAACACTAATATAAATCAGAACTTCAGAGAAAGATTCCCTAAAGCCCACAGGAGAAGAGGAGCTAGGAAGATTTTACACAGGCCAGTTCTGAGTTTTTGTTGGTATCTGAGCACTTACATCAAACTTGTTTAGTTCTTTCACAGAAGTCTGGAGGGAGGTGAGTCTAGTGTTTGCTTAGTAGCTCAATATCATCATTGGAGATCAGGCTTTTTATTGTCCTCCTCAGCATGTTGATTTTTCATCCTGATGCTAGTTGCCTCATGGCCATGAGATGGCTGCTGCAGTTCTGTGTGTCACAATTACAATCCAAAGCAGAAAACGGGGATGCGGAAAAGGCAGAGGTAGTGGCAGAAGAGTTTTGCTTTGTTTTATTCCTTGAGTGACTACCTCATCAAAGGACACAAAAGCACCCAGCAGCCTTCCCTCTATGACGTGTTAATTAGCACCAGGTCACGTGGTTACCCCCTAATTCAGAAAAAACTGGGAAAGGAAGCACTTGGCAAAGAAGGATGGACTTGCAGTGACAGTGCTGCCCTGGAAAGAACTGAGCCTCTGTTGGCAAGGAGATCAACGGCTGTCAAGTAGGCCACAAGCTGCCTGGCCACTGCACTGGGGCTCTGTGTTCATGCTCTCCTTCTATAAAGTCGGTAAGTCAGCCCCATGAGGTTTGAGAGGAGCAGTAACTTGCAGTAGTGGTGGACGGCTGTGCCTGAAAGAGCAAGAATTCTTCATAAAGCTATTAAAACAGGCCAATCCCATAAAGATGAGATTTCTTTCTAACAATTCTGACATCTGTTTTCAGTCTTGAGCCCTTGAATGTCAATTTTCTGTCTCAGGAAGAGGCAGAAATTCTGTCTTTTTGGGGAGATCTGCCCCTACTTACTAAGGGCAGTTAATTCCTTGCTTAGCTCAAGGTGGGTGCTGGGTGGTGAAGGTTTAAGTTCTCACTTCTTGGGCTATTTAACAACCTAAAAGCTAGCACAATGAGTAAACTAATACACTTAAAAGTCTGAGCTTCAACATAAAATAGAGGCTCCACAACAAAACAAACTTGACCGCTATCAGTAGAGAATTATTTATTCTGAGAGAGACTGGAGTAATAAGAACTAGAGATAGGACAGCATGAGGAATATAAGGAATATGATTGGAGGAATGGGGGAGGTGTGTGTGTGTATCTAGGGTAGAAAGTAAGTATTTTTATTCTTATGGGAACTGACTTCCCATTTTAATTGTCTGTCTCATAACCATGGTTAAATCAAACTGTACTAACCAATGTTTAGGAGGATCCTGTTTTATCTTAAAGAATAAAGAAAGACACAATATAAAGAGAAGTTAACAAAATCACTCTGTGAAAACTTAACTCTGTGACTTGACTGCTCTGAGGTTTGCAGGTAGTAGAAATGGAGGCATCCTAGATCATCAAAGTACCAGCATGGTCTTCTACTGGGGACCACGTATTATACATACAAGTCAAACCTCTTCTTCTCCGCTGGGATGCTGAACATGTTTCCAAAGGACTCCAGAAAGCACACAGCTGGATTCAGGTGCTGTTTCAAGATGTGCCATTCTCTTCAATGCTGACAGCAGTTAATGAGCTAAATGTCTTGATAGAGAAGGTCATATTTGGGAATATTTTTAGGATCAATAGGGCTTTGGACAATAAGTTTTCCCCTCATTGCACCTCGATAGATTACTTCAATCAAATCTATGAAGTCTTGTTTGGTTTTGAAACTTCCCACAAACTTGGTGTGATCTGGGGACCTGGACAGCATAACAGAGAAACAACCTCTTTTCAGAACTTCTAATAATTAATTGAGAATAAACAAAACAATAGTAGCTTTTTCTATTTTCTTCTTGTCAGGGAAGAACAACACTGATTTTTCCATTTGTGACTATAGGGCCATTTGGTGTACAACTAAAATCAGTGCTGTGGGTCACTGGGGGAGGATAGAGGCTCTGTCATGCGAAGAGCTTCTGCTTCAAAATCTACTTTAAACACTGCTCAGATCATTAGCAAGTAGTTTTCTGAGTGTTGGCACTAGCATAGTTTGTTGTTGGTTTTTTTTTGGCTAGTCACTGTGCAAAGCCCATTAAGTAGTCATGATTCCTGAATTATAATCACTTATGCTTTTGAATGGAGAGTATTTAATATTTGTGTGCTTTTTTTTTTCAGTATTACAAATATCAGGTCTGTTTATACAGACATTTTATACAAGAAAATAAAATCACCAGTGAGGCCAGAGGTCACATTTTGGTGTATATCCTTCCAATCTTTTCTATGTATGTATGTATATGTGTGTGTACGTGCATGCTTTATGTGTGTGTGTTTCACAATTATGAGAATCATACCATACAAACTATTTTGTGATGTGCTTTTCTCAACTACCGTATTTTTTTGAAGTTGTTAAAAATGCATCTACAGCATCATATTACATTGATACATAGTAGCTCTCTGTGGACATCTAGATTCTAAGTATTTGCTTATAAAGCAAATAAACATCCACAGAGCAAATTTTGTCCACTTTCATGATTATTTTCTTCAGAGACATTCTCAGAAATGCAATTTCTGGGTTAGAGGCACTTTTAAGACTTCTGAAATGTAGTATCATAAACTGCCCACTAGAAAGTTTGTACCAAACTAATAATCACATTAACTGTGTTCCAGGAGAATAAATAGCTTGCCCTTTAAAACAGATAGTAACAAGGAGGTACACAGATCTAGACAAGTACACAATTCAACCAAAGCAAGAAACAAGAATATGGATACACTCAATAACAAACATTGGGATGCTGACTGGATGGAGTAGAAGGCATTAAAGAAGAAGGCTTGAAGCAGTATGACTTCAAACTTCCTCTGAGTGGCATTAGACAGGAACCTTGGCAAGAGAGAAGCATGTCTTAGTTTGCTGGAAGGAATGCTTGCTTTATAAATGCAACGTACCAGTCCCAAGAGTTTAAGAATAATCACGTATTTTGCTTTAAATGAAATTCCTAGGAAAAATTTTAAAAGCTATTCTATATTTTCTAGCTGAAGAATGGTTAGTGCTTTATAAACTGTATTATTCTTTCATACTTTAGTAGGAAATTAAAATTTACCAATGATACCTGAAACACTTATTTACGTCAGTCTTACATGAAAAATCAAGAAAGTCATCAGTTGAGGCAACACAACCAATTTGAGACTCACAGGGCCAACACCACATGCAAACAGGCAAGCTGCTGAAACTGCTTAAAGGAAACTTTTTAAGACTGCAATAACCTCATGTCAACCTCACTTACCCATAATCCACTTTCATATGCTGCCCATTGAAGAAAAATACAGTAGATGGAATATAACTGATGTCAAAATACTGGGTATAAACTGGAGTCTGATCCACATCTACCAGATATATAGCAGCCATTTTACTCAAGTGAGACGAGGTCTTGGAAAGCTGTGAATGGAGGGAGAGATGTAGGTTACATGTGAGAGGGAGCTAATGTCTCTCCTGTAAAACTTTTTACTACGATAGAGTATCTTATTTGAACATAATTCCTGGGCCAGGAATCTAGTCTTTTTGGATTCCACACTAGGCTACATTAGACACGGTGTAACCATATCACTCAGAGTCTGAATTACTGTTGACAAAAGGTCCTGGGTAAAATTGTGTGAATAAATATTTACTCTTATTTTTTCCCTACTTTTGACTGCTTTATAAAAATAACCCATGCTTACTTAAAAACAAAGAACTCAGAAATATGTATTGCAGATACTGAAAGCCCCCAAACTTATAATAATGATAGCAAATACTTTATCTATCTATCTATCTAGCACTTACTATGTGATAACTGTTCAAAGTGCTTTCTCTCTGTTAACTCATTTAATCCTTACAATATTTCTATGAGGTATGCACTATTACAGTTTTCATTTCATAGATGAGGAAACTGAGGCACAGGGAGGTAAAGTAATTTGCCCAAGGTCACGTAGCTAGTACCAGTAGGGCTGGGATTTAAACTCAAGACAGTTTGGCTTCAGAGTGTGTTTTTGACCTCTGTGATATACCTGCCTCCCTACAGCTAAGGGTATACTTTTCTGGTCCTTCCCCTCTCCCTCACCAAGGTTAACACACCATACACTCATTTTTAATCACGGCAGAGAGGATTCCTACACCTGATGCACATTGTTGGTGGCAGCAATAGAAATGGAGGGAAGGGGTCTTAGTCTTGGGTTAAGGCTCTGTCTTAGGCTGGGTTCTCTAGAGAAGCAAAACCAGTGAAGTGTGTGTGTGCGTATATATGAATATACATATACACAATGTGTATTTTTGGTTTGTATACATGTGCATGTATACATATATACACACACATACGTATATATATCAAAACCAAAAAAACCCTTTTGCTGTTGAGTTGATTCCGATTCATAGCGACCCTACAGGACCGAGTAGAACTGCCCCATAGGGTTTCCAAGGATTGGAACTGCCGACCTTTTGGTTAGCAGCCATAGCTCTTAACCACTGTGCCACCAGGGCTCCAAGTGTGTGTATGTGTATATGTGTGTGTCTATATATATACACACACACATACATATACACACATATACGTATGTACGTAAACATATATGTATTTGTATACATACTTACAGATACATACACACATACACACACATATATGCGTATACAGAAAGGACAGAAAGAGAGAGCTGGAGGCTTCTCCTGACTCACATAGCTGCAGGGGCTGGTGAACCCAAGACTGGCAGGTCAGACAGCAGGCCTCTGGCTCACAGGCTGTGGAGGCCGATGAATCCCAAGATTGGTAGGTAAACTGCTAGCTCAAGTCCCAAGAACCAGAGGTTAGATGAAAATCCAGAGCAAGCAAAAGCCAGTGAGCTTTGCCAGAAGATTCATATATACTGGATGCAGGCCAGACCCCCAAGGAAACTCCCTGACTGGCTGCTCATAGCAGATCTCATCATGGAAGTGATTACATTGTATCAGATCTCATTATGGAGATGATTATATCATTACATAGCTGCCAAACTACATCATAACTGCCAAACCACTGAGAATCATGGCCCAGCCAAGTTGACACACAACCTTAACCACCACAGGCTATCTCACAATAAATGGGAGACAAGAATAAATCTAGTCTGTTCCATACACCCCTTACTTACTCATCAGAGTGTGGGGATGTGTTGTGAAATCAGATTATAATCAGGCACATGCTGGAGGCAGCAATCTAGACTGAAAAAGACTATCTGCAGTCAGTCAAAATTCCGGTTCTGCAGTTTAGTGGCTCTATGACTGTGGGAAGTAACTTGACCTCCCTGTTGTTATTACCCCATCTGGGAAATGGAACTACTATTACCTCACTGTTTTGAGGACTGAATTAGATAATGTTCATAGACACTCGTTAATAATGTTTTCTGCTCTTGTACTGCCTTGTTGGTGAAACTGAGCTTGGAAACAGCTAGTGGGGAAGGACATCCAGGATAGATTCAGCACAATCACAGATTTGGGGATTCAGTTCAGTGGCAGGAACACGATCAGTTTTTAGTAAAAATGTGCTGATTAATGAACAGCTATAGCCTCAGGCTCTATCTCTCCCCTTCATACATTTTGCAGAGGCTGAAGCGACAATATAACAATTTTTAGTAAAAACCGTTTATCGAAAAAATTCACTTACAATATCATCTAGCTGCAGACAGACAGGATCCTCATCTCTCCCAAACCTGAGAACCAACACTTTCTCTGCAGTACTTTTTATTGCCTGGTCTACTTCTTTTTTGCTGGTCAGCTTGGGCAATAGGAAGCTCATCCTGAAATAATCCAAATATTAATCCTCACTGTCAATCCTGAAACAAAGCTGCAGTGTTTAAAGAAAGTTTAGATTGCGTGCATGAGTCCTATCTTAAAAAAAACAAACAAAACTTTTTGGAGTAGGTAATATATTCACATGGCTTAAAAAGAAAGAATATAGAAATGTATACTGTGAAAAGTCTCCCTCCCTTGATTTTCCCTCCTCCAGCTCAGTTCCCAATTCTCTATCTCCTCCTGAAGCCCCCATCAGGTATTACTTTTATTAGCTTCTTATGTATCTTCCAGAGTACAAATATACATTCCTATTTTTCTTCCCTTTTACCCGGAAGACAGCCTATTGTATCAATGTTCCAACAGATGGTACCTTCAAATTTGGTAATTTGAAGAGAGTTTAATGAAGGCAGGGTGTAGGAAAAAAGGTACAGTGCAGAACTCAGGGGCTAGTAACAGTGGAGCCATGGGAGGGAGTAGTTATCAGAACCAGATGGTGGAGACAGCTGAGAGGAGAGGGCTGCTGGCTAGGAGGTCAGCCTGCAGTTAAGGGATGCTACCACTCTCTTCTCTCCTGCTAGTACTCCCATGGCTGCCTCCAACCGAAATCACAGGGCAGGGGAACTGCTGAGGTAGGCCAGCCTCCTTGTCACAGAGCAGTGTAGAGAAGGAGGAGGAGCAGATCTGGAGGGCAGACTGAAGCCCAGCACACACTTTATCTATCTACTCTTCCGCACTTTGCATTTTTTACCTAACACACAAAGATTTTTATGTATCTTATACAGAAAACTTCCACATTCTTTTCCATAGCTGCACAGTACTTCATACCATACTTTTTAAACAGTTCCTTATTAATGAACATTTGTATTATGGTCATGGCAAACAGATCAATTGAGGATGTGTGTGAAACGACAATTAGAAAAAACACATAGTAAAATACTGAGATAGAAAGGGCCTAAACCATCCCCTTCATTTACAGTTTGCTTATAGTTACACTTCTAGCTCTACAGTAAGGACTAGAATCCAACCCACCAAATTTCTACTCCAGTGCTCGTTCTACTATATAAGCTCCTACTTTTACTACTGAAGAAATTTCATTTCTGAGAAATTTCTTATCAAGAAGCTTTTTTTTTGAGGCCAATCTTGAGAGATTCCATTGATATATACTTGATATTTTTAATTCAGTTCCAAAGTTGGCTAATGCTAAGAAAAAGTGAGGATTTCTTTCTCTGAATTATTATTATTTGTGATGTGTCACATTTTAAGGTATGAATTAATAAAAATTCATATTGGAAATAAAACTGTTCCAGCAATAGGTCATACTTTAAATAGGGAAGCTGATTGTCAAAAGGGAATTCACAAACTGCGGGTGTCAGAACAAATTGCAGATGAAAAGGAAAGTCAAAGAGAAGATGAATCTGACCCACCACCAGAATTCAAAAGAAGAGCAACTCCTCTATGTTACTGATAAAGAGAAGGAAGTGAGGGGAAAGCAAAGCTATTAACAGGAGGTCAGGGGTGGGACTGGACGAATGCTGGACCAAGAGGGGAACTGAGACCACCCTTAAGAAAATGTCCATACTAAATGATACCAACAGGGAATTCACAAAAGAGGTACAAATGGCCAATCAATACATATAGAAGAGTTAAAACTTACTAATTATTAAAAAAAGCAAATTAAAAGATAACTTAAAAAACCCACTAAATTGGCACAGAATAAATAAGATAGTAACATACAACAATCACACGAAGTGTGACTGTTGGGGCTGGCATTAGTAATCCCTGCTGGAATGTAGAGAGGCAAAACTTTTCTGGAAAGAACGCTAAAATATTTTGACCAACTACTCCATTAAAAAAAATTGCTAGGAAATAAACAGACATGTGCACAAAGATTTTTGTGTGAAGTGTATTTACTTCATTTATAATCGTGAAAAATTGGAAATAACCTAAATGGCTATCAGTAGGGGACTGGGGACATAAATGAGGGCACAGTCCTGCAATGGGTCACTATACAGCCACTAAATACTGTGCTAGAGATGAACAATTAAGATAATTGAAGAATTCTCATGATAAATGGCTCCAAAAAGTTACAAAACAGTATGTAAAGTGTAAACTCAATTTTATACGAAACCTAAATATAATGTATGTGTACACGTTTGCATAGAAAAACCGCTGGAAGTAAACATCCCTATATACCATCAGTGGTTATTTCTGGGTGTGGATAGGTGATTTTTATTTACTTCAGGGTGCGCCGCTGTCTTTTCCAAGTATCCCGCAATAAACTTGTATTATGAGAACAATATTTGATAAAATTTTAAAAAGATGCCTGTGGTTAGACTAGGAGCCGTGGTGGCGCAGGGGTTAAAAGCACTGGCTAACTCAAAAGCCGGCGGTTGGAAACCACCAGCCGCTCCGCAGAAGAAAGATGCAGCAGTCCGCTTCCACAAAGATTTACAGCCTTGGAAACCCTATGGGGCAGGTCTACTCTGTCCTTTAGGGTCGCTGTGAGTCGGGAATCAACTCCACACGGCAACCGGTTTGGTGGTTGAACTACTCCTGGTCTACAATTGCCAGGGGAGACATACTTACTTTACTTGTACAAGTCACCTTCTTCCCTTCCACTTCAGGGCTGTCAGCAAACTCGACCCCTTCTCGGAAGAGACGGGACACAAGGTAGCACTTCTTTTCAGTCCCAACTCGGGCAGCGACCCTAACTCCAAGTAACCGAGGAGCTGTTGCCTAGCAACCCTCCTGTAACCACTTCCGGGGAAAGAAACGGAAACGAAAACGCACAGGCGCAGTAGACAAATGAGCGGTCGCTCGTCACTCACACTTAACCGCCCAATAGGCAGACGAGGTTATTCTAGTCGCGGCCCACTTTGCCAGCTCTAACCGGAAACCTTAGAAACACTTCCGTCCATGTTAAATACGACCCACCTCTCCTCTACCACCCTCCCTCCATTCTCAGACTAGAGGCGGGGTATTGTCTATGACACTAAGCATGATTGGCTCGCGAGGAGACCCGATAGTGTCTCTCATAGATCCCCAGTAGAGGACACTCTAGCCTTGCCATCGGGGTTGCGCTCTATCCCACACTTGGAACCAGGAACTCGCGTTTTCCGGGCTGCTCTCGATGGTATCTTTGGGCGGATAGAGAAGCCCACGCAAGGTATTTTGGGGGTAAGAATGGCGGCTTTTAAGGTGTGGATTTTCGCTCTCTGAGGCGGCCTGAGCGAAGAGTGGCGGCGCCGGCGCCCCGCAGTCCGGGACCGAAGGGCCCAGAGGGTCAGGTTCGCTGCGGTGAGTGTCCCTTCTTCCTTCCTGCCCTCGCCAGTCGGGACCGCTCCCGCGGCAGACATCCATTCCTTGCTCAGGTCCGGGTTTGGAAAGTTTCTCTCTCGGTCATTGTCACCCAACTAGCTTTACTCACCTCAGGGATGCTGTGCCGGTCCTGCCTGCCTTGCCCCCTCTCTTTGCTTTGGTCAGATCCCGCACCGTTCTTCAGTCTTCTGTCTTAGCCCACTCCCTGACCGATGATCAGCCCTAGTAGGGCCTCTTGTGTCTTCCTCTTTTCTCTTATGGGGCTATCTCTGCCAGACGGCTTGGTGGGCGATTTCCTCTACTAGATGTTAGCTCCAAGAGTACGAGGATTTTTGTCTGTTTTGCTTTCTCCTTTATCTCTATTGCCTAGAACAGTGATTGGCTCAAAGAAGGCGCTCAATGAGTAATTGTTGAATGAGTAAATCCAGCTTTTTTCTTCCTTGTTTTTCTCATACCCTTTGTGGCGTCTTTGCCATTAGTCCATCTCCTGAATCTAGCCTCTTGACACCTTATTTTTTGTTCTTAGCAGCTAGTTAAGTTCTCTCTGTCAGACTCCTTTTCCTCTGCTGCTTTGCTTGCTGTCTCTATAAACGTGTGGCATCCCGTTCTCTTTTGATATGTTTAAATTCATTCGTTTATTCATCAAACGTTTATTATACTAGGTGCTGGGCCATAGCAGTCAACAAGATAGGCAAGGTTCTTCATTTGTATAGAATGGCATTCTAGAGGTATATTTCCTAGTTTAAACTGCTGTGGAGGAAAGCGTGTATATCTCTACCTCACTGTTTGAAGTGTCTCACATGCATACAGGTGTCACCAATATGCATCCATCTCTTTTCTATTCTGCCTGATATTTTCAAAATGCAACTCTTGTTTTTGGTCAACAGTATGTGTCCAGTCTGTTTGACTATGCTCTCAATGTAGAGCTGGGTATGTTCACTAGAGCTTGGCAAATATTCTGGATTCTGGTGGCACTGTACCCCTCCATAGTTTCTCTGCTTCACTGACTTGTTGGAATGAAGAGAATTACGCAGGCACTCACAATAGGTGTCAGTTTGCAATACTGTGTAATGAGAAGTAAGAAGAATTTGTTAAACGAGTTGAGGGCCAGGAAATCTTACAGTCACATAAAATATTTTTCAGGAACACCATTCCGTAATCTAGAGTTTCTCATCAGTGTTTTTGGTGAACATGGATAGTTATTAAACAGATTATGACTGCTGTGAGGTAATTCTTTTCTACAAAACACTGTTCGGAAGAAAGCCACTAGAGTGTGGGTAACACGAATGGCAGCCTAATAACCCAACATCTCTACATACTCCATTGTATCTGCAGTTTAAAGGGAGGGATGGGCTGGAAGAATAGAGAGTACACTCATTAAAAACAAAAATGGCGAGTGACACACTCAGTATATAGGAGCACGGTATATAATGTAACAATTACACTTACGTAACTCTTTATGGTTGTAAAGGAGCCCTGGTGGTGCAGTGGTTAAGCACTAGGCTGCTAACTGAAAGGGCAACGGCCCTTTGAACCTGTCAGCTGCTCGGCGGGAGAAAGATATGGCAGTCTGCTGCTGTAAAGATTTACAGTTTTGGAAACCCTATGCGGCAGCTCTAGTCTGTCCTGTAAGGTCACTGTGAGTCAGAATCGACTCGAGAGCAGTGGGTTATGGTTACAGAGAACTTTCACATACACTTCTTTGTCTGATCCTCATAATAACTCCATATTTTAGGTAAAGCAAACATTATTTTCATTTTACAGACGTGGAAACTATGGCTAGCCAAAGATTAAGTTATTTGCTTGTAATCATGCAACTAGAAAGTGTCAAAATCCTGTATTCTAACTAAGGTTTTATGACTTCAAATCTAGGAGTGTTTCCACTACACTGCCTGTACACATGTTGCCAGGCTCTCGTAACCGTTCCTTAGTGAAGTCTGTTCTTGCCTGGATGATACCCGTTTGCATTCTGGGATGGGTGTGTGTATTTCTGTTGTGTGTTGGGATTTGCAAAGGGGTCTTTTGGGATTGTCAGTGACATGATTGAAAGTTCTTGACAAGAGAAAGCTGAAGATATCCTGGTCTTGTTACAGGGGAGAGGAGAATTAACCCCCTAAATATACCTATAACTATAGATATTCTGGGATATTTCAGAGCTTAGCCTTTTCTCCTCTTATGTCTTGTCCCAAATGGTTTGCCTTCCTTCCAGAGAAAATCCCAGAGCCTTTGATGGAGGACAGCAGTGAGGATGCTTCGATCCATCGATTAGAAGGCACTGATCTGGACTCTCAGGTTGGTGGTCTTATTTGCAAGACCAGAAGTGCGGCTAGTGAGCAGCATGTCTTCAAGGCTCCTGCTCCACGCCCTTCATTGCTGGGACTGGACTTGTTGGCCTCCCTGAAACGGAGGGAGCGAGAGGAGAAGGATGATGGGGAGGACAAGAAGAAGTCCAGAATCTCTTCCTACAAGGACTGGGAAGAGGGCAAGGATGACCAGAGGGATGCGGAAGAAGAGGACAGTGACCAGTCTGGCCGAAGTAGCCGAAAAGACAGGTAAAGGCCTTAGGAAGGATTAACCCAAAAGGAATGAAAATGGAGACCAGAAAATAACAAGAAAATAACATCTGGTGTTTATTGCTCAGTTTTTATTTTTTTATTTTTTTTTTATTATACTTTAGGTGAAGGCTTACAGAACAAATAGTTTCTCGTGAAACAGCAGTACACATGTTGTTTTATGACATTGGTTAACAACCCCACAACATATCAACCCTCTAACTTCTCAACCTTTTTTTTTTGGTGAAAATACACATAGCCAAAGATATACCATTTCAAAAACTTCTGCATGCACAGTTCAGTGACATTGACTATGCTCTTCGAATTGTGCTGTTATTCTCACTTACAATGAAGGCTTACAGAACAAAATAGTTTCTCATTTAACAGTTACTACAAATGTTGCCCTATGACAATGGTTAACAATCTCACAACACATCAACAATATCCTTACTCAGCCTTGGGTTCCCTATCACCAGCTTCCTTGTCCCCTTCTGCTTTCTGGCCCTTGTCACTGGACTCCTGTACCTCATTAGTCTCATTTGGTTTTACGGGGCTGTCCACTCCCAGGCTGAACAGTGAACCTCGGAGGTAACTTCACCACTGAGCTAAAAGGGTGTCTGGGGGCCATACCCTTGGGGTTTCTCCAGTCTCCTTTAGGCCAGTAAATCTGGTCTTTTTTTTTGTGGGTTAGAATTATGCTCTACATCCTTCTCCAGCTCTGTCCAGAGCCCTCTGTTGTGATCCTGGTCGGTATTGCTCAGTTTTTTAATTGGCCATTTAGAGCTTTATAATTTTGTTATGATTCTGTAATGTTGAGAGTAGGTAGGAATTGATATTTTCTTAGTATTTGTGGGGAGAGTTCGAAGGTAACTAGAGAGTAAATGATGGAAGTTAGAAATGCTGTGGGTTGTTGCCATAAGTAAGCCTGTGGTACCAGGGAGATAAAGTGAAAAACGATGGAGCACTTGTTTGGCACAGCCAAGAACTTCTTTGGGGCAAGGTTTCTCTCCTGTGGAGGGTCCCTTTATTAGTTATTCTTACCTTTCAGACATTATCGTTCTGCCCGAGTAGAGACACCATCCCATCCTGGTGGTGTGAGTGAAGAGTTTTGGGAACGCAGTCGGCAGAGAGAGCGGGAACGGCGGGAGCATGGTGTCTATGCCTCATCTAAAGAAGAAAAGGATCGGAAGAAAGAGAAATCACGGGATCGAGACTATGACCGCAGGAGAGACAGAGGTAAACTGTCTGGCATCGGTATTATTGCCTGTTAGACATTTAAATAAACATGTTGGCTTTTCCTGTTGCAGGAGTTTTCATAATGCCCAATAATTAGGGAGCCTTATTTGCAAGATGGGAGTCCGTGGGCGGCATAAATGGTTAAATGATTGGCTACTAACTGAAAGATTGGTGGTTTTAATTCACCCAGAGGTGCCATGGAAGAAAAGCCTGGCAATCTGTTTCTGAAAGATCACAACCAAGAGAACTGTATGAAAGTACAGTTCTACTTTGAAATGCATGGGGTCACCATGTGTTGGAATGGACTCAGTGGCAGTTGGTTATTTGCAAGATGTTAGCCTGGTTGATTTTGACCCCACCAGGATTGGGAATAGCAGGCAGTTTAAGAAAAGGAGCTGTTACATGTAACATAGCTGCTTTGCTTGAGTGTGTAGTTCTTGTTTTTGTATAAAAATTATTGATAAAGGTTCTTATTTTAATATAAAAATTGTTGATAAAGGTGATAATGGGTAAGATGTGTAAGAAATCCAGATTTTACAATATTATTTATTGGTGATAGAGAAAGGACAGTGCTCTGGAGCAAAGCTAGATGTAAAATCCAATGCTGGCTTTGCTGAGTATTAAGTTTTATAGCTTATAGGCTTGTAACTATTAAAAAACTATTAACTATAGAGTTATAACTATCATTTTTTGAATTCTTGCAGGAAAGTAACTGTTACTGTGAGTTTGAAACTTTCTAGCCAGTAACTCTTTTTTCCTCTTGAAAGAATGGGAAAATGTGAGTTTCAGGAACCCATGGATGGCATAATAGCAGTGCAGATTGCACCTGTGAGTGAGTGGTAGAAGGCCTGTCCTTTCTCAAGGGTGAAGACGGGTGTAAGTTAAGATGGGACACGTGTTTTCTAAGTGTTGCATGTGGCTCTCCACAGATGAGCGAGATAGAAGTCGGCATAGCAGTAGATCGGAGCGAGATGGAGGGTCAGAGCGCAACAGCAGAAGAAATGAACCAGAGAGCCCCCGACATCGACCCAAAGGTAGAATTTCCTGTTTCCTGGCTGTGGGTTATGGAAGTTCAAGTGTATAAAAGTGTAAAAGGTAGAGCAAGTGACTTTCATCCTCAAAGGGTTCATTGTGGGCAGTGATTCTGTCGTGAGCCTCTTGGAATACTTGGTTCGGAGTTGGGTAGGCAGAGCCCTGAGGCCTCTCGAGATGGATATGCTTCCTTTAGGGAGCTAGGCCTATTTGCTGAATGGACAATTTTCCAAATGGCAGTAAAGAATGGGGAACTGGGAGGCAGGAGAAGGATTTATTAAAAAAAATCCTTTGTATTCAGAAGGGATATATCTGTAGAGACAAATTGGACATTCCTTAAAACATTGTTGTAAACAAAATGAAAGCTGGTCCATTAAAATCGGAAGACTTTAAAAACTGTCAAAGCCATCCTATCCGTTAGAAAAAGGTACAAGATTTATAAATAGTAAAAGAAATTTGGGAAATTGACTTTTGGCTGATGGTTCCAGTGCCATGTCTTGGTTAAATGAACTATTTCCTGTGGCTGTGTCTTTCGTGGCCCCAGATGCTGCCACTCCTTCAAGGTCTACCTGGGAGGAAGAGGACAGTGGCTATGGCACTTCAAGGCGCTCGCAGTGGGAATCGCCCTCCCCATCGCCTTCCTGTCGAGACTCTGAGAGGAGCCATCGGCCTTCCACTCGAGATCGAGATAGGTGATGTCCTGGGCGGAGCATCCCATTTCTCTGGGTGGGTGGCAAGGGGTGGGCGTGATGAGGCAGAGGGATCTGAGATGGGGGGCAGCTGGTAGCTGGCAGCTGGGGAGAGTGTCTTGGCTTAGTGACTGTTTATGATGCTGGTAGTGCTGTTTCCCAGGTCTGTGAGGAGTAAGTACTCAGATGACACACCTCTGCCAACCCCATCCTACAAATACAACGAGTGGGCAGATGACAGAAGACACCTGGGGTCCACACCGCGTCTTTCCAGGGGCCGAGGTAACTCAAAGTGGGAGGAGGAGGCAGGAAGCAAGACCTCAGATCCTGGTGAGGCTGAGCTAAGGCTGCGCTTCTGGGCCTGTGTGGCTTTCCACGTTGGATCTTGGCCACTGGGGATAAGCTGGGCTCGTGTAGACTGATGTGCTACGTGTTCTCCTTCAGGAAGGCGTGAGGATGGTGAGGAAGGAATTCCATTTGACACAGAAGAGGAGCGGCAGCAATGGGAGGATGACCAGCGGGTAAAAGCTTAGTGTCTTTGAGGGGCTGATTAAGAGGTGGTGGGGGAAAGAAGGGTTAGTGCACAAGACCATGAGTGACACTCTAGTGGTTTTGGACTTTGATGAGGTTGTTAACACTAGCTGAGTGGTTCAGTGCCAAAGTCCTGGAATCTCTTTCCAGAGGCACCGGTTTCACAGGGAAACTTCTCACCTAATGCTGTAGGCTCGACCTAACTTTTCTTGTTAGGTGTTGGTGCCACTGTGTGGTAAGTCTAAGAAGTACTGTCATGATGGGCTGCACCATTGTAGTTCTTCTATGGATGACTCATGCTTCTCTCCTGCCGTCTTACCGGGGTTGCTTCATGGCTCTAGTGACTTCTTACCACACATCTCCTTCCCTCCTGGACGGGTCCAACACATAAACTTGACCTGCATCTCATTTCTGTTACTTTTTGTCTCATGCCTTGCAGCAAGCTGACCGGGATTGGTACATGATGGATGAGGGATATGATGAGTTCCACAATCCCCTGGCCTACTCTTCTGAGGACTATGTGAGGAGGCGGGAACAGCATCTGCATAAACAGAAGCAGAAGCGCATTTCAGCTCAGCGGAGACAAATCAATGAGGTGAGGTCACCTACAGTAGTTGGAGTGTATTCAGAGCTGGAGTGGGGTGTATGCAGGAAAGGCAGTAGCTCATGTCCAAGGATGGCATGATAGTTTGTTTCCCTGTTGCCCAGAGACCAGATGTAAATTTATATCTGGAGGTGGCAGAGGGCTGGGTACAGACCTTTCAGTAGCTTACAGAAACCCCAGCACATGACTTCTCTCCTTTATAGTACTTCCTTTAGGGGTGCTGTTGATGGGTGCCTTCATCCATCCACTCACTGATATGGCGGGCCCTCGCTCTGTGGTCTGTATCCTTTGTGTCTTAGTGGCCAGGACTGATAAGTGGAGCAAGGGACTTTGACCATTGTGTCTCCATATGGAGGTTCAGACTTTGAGTAAGGTGCTGCTCGCGGAACAAGTTACTGCAGGTAATTTGGGAACAGCAGGTCTTTAGTCTAAGGAGCTGCAGGATTAAAAGGCCTGTGACATCTCTCAGGCCACCCATGGCCTTCCTATCAGGACTTGAAGGGTGGACTTGCCCGCTGACCTTTCTGGACGAGCTTCTGGCTGCAGTCTGAGTGTGGCTTCCCATTGTGTCCCCGCAGGATAACGAGCGCTGGGAGACCAACCGAATGCTCACCAGTGGTGTGGTCCATCGGCTAGAGGTGGATGAAGACTTTGAAGAAGACAATGCAGCCAAGGTACATCTGATGGTGCATAATCTGGTGCCTCCCTTCCTGGATGGGCGCATCGTCTTCACCAAGCAGGTGAGGCTCCTCTGTGCCTGGAGAGGAGGAGTGAGGAAGACTCAAAAAGAGGGAGGGAGGGAGTAAAATGGGCCTTCTTGTTGATTTAAATGATCAGTGGGGGATTTCTTTTTCCTCAACCTCTTGCAGCCAGAACCTGTGATTCCAGTCAAGGATGCCACTTCAGACTTGGCCATTATTGCTCGAAAAGGCAGTCAAACGGTGCGGAAGCACAGAGAGCAAAAGGAACGCAAAAAGGTTGGTTTCTTATCACCTGGGGCTGGGAAGTCCACGTAGTTTTCTTCTTTTAAAAAACCTTATTAGACTTCACAAGTAGGATTCTGGTTAGAAGTGAGAGGACACTCACCAAGCAAGGATCAGCCCTAGGAGGAGGGCACTGTGTTCCTCCACTGGGTCCAGTTAAAACAACCACAGGGCCCGATGCTTTTGGAGCTTGAGGCTCCAGAGCTGGAATGCATGACTTAGTGATTTTGCCACCTGCTTTGGGAATTTGCTACCCGCTACATGGAGACTCCAGCATCATTTCTATCACCAAGGCTGTATTTTCCAACTACCGATCTTTGTTTCCAACTTTCACTTTCCACTCACCAGTACTTTTCAATGCATCTTGAAACACTGGAGATCGCGTGATAGGATTTTGCAAGACCAATGACTTACTCATTACAAACACCTTTCTTCAACAACGTAAATAGCGACTATGTTTGTGGACATTGCCAGATGGAATACACAGGAATCAGATCAGTTTTATCTGTGGAAAGAGATGATGGAGAAGCTCAGTATCAGAGCAAGGCCAGGGGCCGCCTGCAGAACAGACCATCAGTTGCTCATGGAAGTTCAAGTTGAAGCTGAAGAAAATGAAAACAAGTCCATGAGAGCCAAAGCACAACCTTGAGTATATCCCATCTGAATTTAGAGATCATCTCAAGAATAGATTTGACACATTGAACACTGATGACTAAAAACCAGACATGTTGTGGGATGACATCAAGGACATTGTATGTGAAGAAAGCATAAGGTC